AACTAAAGTAGAGGTAGTAAGTGGTGCCAGGATGCATAAAAACCATAGAAACGGCCCAAAACTCGAGAAATTGGACCCCTCCATTGGGTGGGACCCACAACCCTTCACGTTAAGTGCACATTTTTTTCATATAATTCGATTCTTTTTAGCAAAGGAGTCTGCAGCGGCATTGAAGCCGGTCACATCGGCGATGGAAGACTACACCCGACGAGATTCACTGTCAGCCTCCGATGTCACCGACAAAAGGAAGTCACCCACACCTGGTGGGGAAAAATCGGAACGAGTAAGCGAGACGCCATCGAGGAGTGTGAGTCCAAATGTCGCGCCTCTTCAGTCGAAGGAAATGGAGAAAACTTCATCGGAACCCGCTGAAAAACCCGACTCGAAACCCATTGAATCGTCACGGCAAAGAATGTTCCCAAATCAGAAGCTACAAAGGAAGAGGCTCAGGCAGCGTCAATCCAGCGTAAGAGTCCTACCTCCATCTGCCGCCAAGACAGACTCAACTCCTGCAGAACAAAAGATTCAGCTACATTCTCGGCTTCAGAAGACAAGAAAGAAACCCAGTCACAGAATCTGACGTCAGTTGCAGCCAGCGGTGACACTTCACAAAGCGACAGATCAAGAGCAAGCAGCCGAGCCAGTCGAAGTTCGGCAAGGTCGCGCTCCTCGAGTCCGGCTGTGAGAAACGCCCAGAAACCAGAACAACCTAAGAACGCGTTGCCGATCCTTGTCACAACATCCATAGAAAATCAGTCGGACAAGGAGGCAGCCAAAGAGCCTACAGTCGACGTCGTCATTCCTCTGAACGTGCTGAAGGTGAGATATTTTTTCGAAAAAAATAGGTAGACGGCTTAAAATACGAAACAGCCGGAGTGAGTTTTGTAATGGCATATGTCGGAATTAGGCGTGCCTTCACGAAAACCAAAACCATTACCGACGGTGAAAGGATCCCCTCCATAATTCTGTGGCTGGGAGTGCACCACAGAGACGATCAGGCTCGTGATTCGAAACCGCAGTGATAAGATAACGCCTCCGATCTAATATTTGGGTCTATATTATCCGCCTGCAGTAGGCCTTGCCCCCCCCTCGCGCTAGCTGTGCGCGTGATATTAAGGGGATGAAATTATGGGTAGGAGCTGAATTATTGCGTTTTGTATTACTTGCTGAGCTTTAGCCAGCAATGGCTGAGTAATTCCCGAAACCTGCGTATTGAAAACTTCCCTGCCATGCCTGCTTTTTGCTGCGATGTTGACGAAGTGGATTATTTCGACCTCTTGTCGCGGTTTCTTCACATATTTTTTACTGCGTTCACTCGATTTTGCCACTCACTTTCAAGCGCCACGATTCCCAATTCGGCCCCAAACTTCAAATAAATTTTTAATTGATTATTCGCCATGAAACACTGAAGCATTGCCCTCATCCTTTTTTATCTTATAAGGTTTTACTGTCTTCTGCAAATTAAGAGTTTGTAACGGAAACTAACACCTATCGGTGGTGGGGATTAAAGGAAAGTGATTACGATAAAGAGGAGACGGGGAAATAAGTTGCATATATTGCGAACAAGAGCAATTATTGGCTGCCAAAGTTAGGCGAGGCAGTGACGCTCTCACGACGAAGGGGTCGCTGGGTTCAGAGCAGGAGTTCGAATTACTCCGCGATCAGCCAAAACGTGACTCGACCACAGCTACATATAGTTGGTGGTTATGTTAAATCTGTGTGCCGAGCAAGGACACAATGCGAGCAACTCCATTAGGCAGCACGATTTGGCATTTGGTGGTGTCACAAACGGTTTGTGGCCAACTCGTCCATACGCTCATCTGTCTCAACACCTCCTGTCTTCTAAGCAAAGGAACGGATCAACAAGGGGATCTCTTTTCGTATTTTAACGGCGGAATTTCTGTCTGCTTTTTGCGATTTGGCCCTACATGAGCACCCACGTCTGTGTTAAACCTTTAGACCTATTATGATGGGCGCTTCCATAACAGCATGGCCGTGGATTCGCACCTGCCACGCACTTTGTCACAGAAGCACTTCCGGTTCCACGCCTACTGGTCCAATCCGGTCCAACAGATGGGTCTTTCCAGGGGCTGTTTCTCTTGAGGAGTTTCATCATTTTCGCTCCGAACTTTGCATATGGTCTTCAATGACATGCAACGCCTACTGGTCCAATCCGGTCCCACAGATGGGTCTTTCCAGGGGCTGTTTCTCTTGGGGTTTCATCATTTTCGCTCCGAACTTTGCATATGGTCTTCAATGACCATGCCCAACACCTGTACACAAGGAAAGGATAAGCAGTCTTTCCGTGGAAGATTCCTTTAGTACTCGACTATGAAGTAATTGTCAAAAAGGTGTGCTTTTGGTTAGTCCTTGTATAAGCGGAAATTAAGTGAGAAGAATGCACGAAATACAGTTTCGGTGAGCAGTTTTGACCACCTCTGTGTGAGCTGTGAGAGCACAATCTCTGAACACATCCCAGGCGCTCTTGGTTTCACAGGAACAGTCCTTGCATATTTGTGACCATTCAAAGGTTGCTCGGAATAGTTATTGAGGCTTGAATTCATCAGTAAATGAGAATGGGCGAGAACTTGTTTTGATACTGTTCTCCAAAGTTCTATTCGCTACGGAAGTGACTCTATAACTCACAGTTGCAACTGATAACGACGCTAGGAATGAGAACAATGAAGAAACAATGCTGAAAAACAACTCTGGTAAAGTGGGAAAAGGGCAACGCTAAGAAGGCAATAAATTAGGGAATAAAATTGAAGCATTCCAGAGAAATCGCAGCAGATCAGTGAGCCCCGGTCGCAAGTCGCATCATCGCCATGTGAAGGAGAACACTCCACAGTTACTTAGCGTCGGTTCAAAAAGCCACCACAGTAAGTTTCAGAAGAACGCCTCAGATACCTCGGGGATATCCTAAAGGATAACCATGTTAGTGTCCAAGGAAGAGAAAGACAAGTCAATGGGCTACCAGTTACAATGGAGTTTTTTTTTTCATTGAAGATCGTTTCTGTGGGAAAGTCGGAGAGCAGCAGGAAGTAGAAAAAACAAGACGAATGGCCCCGTCACAGCCATGTGGCACTCGTTTGAAGCGCTGTTGTCCTTTGTCCTCAATCGTACACACTCCCAGACGTTGTCACTGTCAATGTTGAGCTTCCAGCCTCCGCCCGGATGCGACGCTCTGCAAGCCCGACGGCTGACCCCTCTCCAAGTGATAATGCTAGTTCCAACGGCGAAGAAGAGACCAGGAAAGGTGAGCCAATTCGGTCAAACACTGTATAGATATATAATTAAGATCGCACAAGAGTTAAATTTTCAGGCCGTCGCAAGCGTCGCGACCCGACGCGAACCCTGGAAAATCTGAAGGAAAAGCTGGCCAGTGAGAAGCAGGCAGAGGATGGACAAGATGGAGAAGAGAAAGGAGGAAATGTCGTCTTCCACAGCCAGCGACGAAAGTGGACTGTATTCTGAGGTCAGCGTCTCGGCTCCTATCTGGCAATGGTCAGTATGGCGTGGTCATCAAACTCGACCTAATACGAAGTTATACGAAATCACCCACGACCTCCTCTGCTTCTCGTCACTGAGCCGACCAACGACACAGATAGGGAATGTCCGGATTTGTGGGAAGAATCCTCTGATGGTGATTGGACTGAGGCTGAGGACGAGGCCGATTGTAAGTAGTTTAGGGAAGTGACAATCTATGGTTAATCGATTTCGAGTGAGGGTGGCCAATTTTTTCGAAGCTAGCGATTGCAACACCTAGACGCAGGATTGGAGGGGCCGCTCGAGTTTTTGTGTACGTGAAGAATAACAAGTAAACTACTGAATGCGAACTTTATGATCGGAGGGTAGCCCACTAGAACTAAGGTGGGGGAAGTTGGTGGTGCTGGGATGAGGAAACGGCTTCTAGAGAAGGAAAATGGTTACCCTTCCTTGCCCGTTGATTTCCGCATTGATGCGACTCTCATCGGTGCTGCCCTCTTCAACGCTAACGCTCTCTCTGCTAAACGGCTAGAGACCTGCGGCGAGTGGTTAGTCAGTCGGTGGGCGTGCCGCGCCGATAGCGCCGCGGGGTGGTCCTGCTAGGCAGGGGCGTGCCCTTTGCTGCGAATTGTAGGCCGATCTGCACCCTTGGAGGGGGAATGCCTCTTTCCACTAGGTCAGTTTCTCCTTGTTAGACCTTCAATTCTATCCTCCTCTAAGTACGTAAACTATAAATGACTAGAACTTAACCATAAATGGCATGGTCTTGGAAACGTGAAAGAAAAGAAAGGAGTCTCGTGACGCGTGCAATTTTGAATCGTCCCACAATATTTTAGGAGTGCAGGGATTTGAGCAGAAACCATATAAAAAATCAGAAGGATATATTTTTGAACAATCACACGCGAAAAACAATGTCACCCACCCATTCAGTTATGGCAGCTTTATCGTAGCCGCGCGCCTCACGGGTGCCCCCCCCCAATCTCCCTCTATTTGTCAAGTTTGGGGAATTCGACTGGATATTTGTGCTTAGTTTAGAACGAGGATCATTTCAGACGAATCCGATGAGTATTCGATTTCGCAAACGTTTAGTCTCAAAGACTGCTTGCCTATGGGTGAGTTCGCAATTTTGTTCACATCGAAATTCTCCTACTTACAGTTACTTTCGCACCATTACCTACCTAACTTATTAACTTATGTGATTCAGGATAACTATTGATTTTGCGCGCGTGTGATCGATATCACTCCTGACGCGCGATAGCGATAAGGCAGTTTGAAGTGAAGAAAGTAGCCTTTGAACTCTTCTAAACAATTTTTTCCAGGCGATCTTTATCCGCTATCTCGTTCTTCTTCACGATGTTCAGCTTTCGTGTCCGATTATGACAGCGACACCAGCATGCCGCTGTTCATGCTTCCGTCGAGGTGTGGTACGAGTGCAGCCGGAGAAAAGTCCATTACTAATCCATTCCTTTACCCATAGCAATACCTAATATTGACTACAAAGTAATCGCCTTACCACTTACAGAGCTGAGGAGTCACGAGGTCGCGTCGATCGCCTGTTTGCCGTGCCCCCTCCGTCATTCAGCTGCTCGATCACATACGATGGACAGGAGAGCTGGGATGATGAAAGCCTCCATTCGTGTACGGATTTCGACGACGAATACTGCGGTAAATTTACTCACTTGATACTTCGGAAGCGTTCTTCACTTGAAATGTTCACTTCAAGAGCGGTTGTGTTTTCAGGCAGGCTTTCTCGTTACAGTCGCGCTGAATCGTCAGCTTTGGGAGGTATACTTAGCAGTAAAGCTACACATCCGATGAGGTTTGCCTTTCGAGTTTCGTCCGAACCCAGGAGCAGCCCCCCCCCACAGTATTCGCGCGGGATTAAGAATGGTTCTTTACATGAAATGGCGCTAAACAGAACGACAGGCACGTCCCACAAGTTCAGAAGGAAGGGGACCGCCTAGGTGCTATACAAGAAGCCCGCATTTATGTAAGTGGGACTGCTGCCCGCTACTATACTGTCACGAGAATCGGGGAATTCGTGAGCCAGGGGGAGTGTAGCCAATCTAGGGGGGGGGTGGGGTGAGGGCAGTCACTTGACATGCGTGAAAAGCTGGGCGTGCCCACCCACTTGTATGGAGCAGGCCGGCTAAAAGAAAAAACAGTAAAAAATGCTGAGTTTCTAAAATGGGAGCCCTACTTTTCCATGAGGTTAACAAGGCGATGATGAAGAGCGCCACAAGACATTCTGTTCTATCGAAGGCCCGATCACTATCGTCGTGCACGCCGTGTGGGGCACCATAGGGTTAGCATTCATAATGACCTCAGTTGCTCTGATCTTTCAGTATCGATCGGATCGATCGCAATTTAAATCGCTCTATTCATAAATATTACTAGCCTGAACCAATTTTTAAAGTGTAACTCCACAATGTTTAATCTTCAGTGGACACCTTTGAAAGGTTATAGAAGCCGTCTAGACGCAACCCTCGGGGATTAACAAACCCTTCTATAAACTCCTTATTCATTCTGTCAGTAGGTTTCGGTAATATTTCAATGATCACCCCACGCGGCCTGCTCTATTGAGACTGGTTGACCCCGTGAGAAAACGGAAATATACCGACCGTCAAGGATAGAGAAGAGCCGAGAGACCATGCGGATATGTGAAATGCAGACACCCTCCTGCGTAGAACACTGCACCGCGAGCAACATTTCCAACACGCTGCAGAATGGCGACAAAGTCTGTCGTTTTTGCCGCACACTTTTGAGTAGCGAGAAGGGGCATCTTTTGCTTTTGAGGAAATTTCTTTTACTAAACAGAAGTCAGGTTACTCTACTCCCTCTCCCTCTAACGGAGAAGGTCGAACGGGAGCTCCGAATTTGTTTCATCCTTTCTGGGCACGCACGATTCACTCACCAGAATTTCAGGGCATCTCTCAATATGCCTGCCTCATTAAGCTCCAGACAAATCAGTACCACATGAACGCACAGAAGATGAAACTGTTGGCCTGAACAAGGTTCGGGCCGAATTGACATCTTAGACCGTGCACATTGAATGGTACCACTGCCACACATACTTTGCCCTTCCTATACCGGTATATGCGGCTACCGGGAATCCAGTCTCTGTGGCTAATAGGCTTGGCTTGAAAGAATCTTCACGAAAAATCATGATCTATTTCAGTCCATAAATCACTGGCTGAGCTCAGGGCCAACCGTCCGTTCGAGCAGTTCGAACGGGGGGGGTCGCATTTGTGTGTCTGGGAAGGGAGGGGGGTCGCACTGGTCGCATTGCGCGCCTTGGTGATTAGTGGCGCAGGGCATATGTGTGTGCGAAAACCAAAGTTTTGGGAAATAATGGTGAGTTCGCATTTTAGGTAGGTGGGCAGCTGCCAAACGTCTCAGAATCAAATACTATAGAAGAGGGAGAGGTCGCGGTGGAGGAAGGCTGGTTGTATTGGGGGGTCGCAACTGGACCCTCTCGAGAGGGGGGGTCGCAAAAATCCCGAAAATGTTCGAACGTGACGGTTGACCGTGGCCGACTCATGATCATCCACGATAAGAATGAAAAGACAGCGAAAGTATTGCTTTTGTTCTGGTAAAAAAAAATTCGAAAAATCGAAAGGGCTGCTACGCGTTCAAAGTGCCCACGGACGTCTTTCACAAATGCTGGCGACGGGGATGCTTCCACTTGGTTCTTCGGAGTGCCTTCACTAGAAACTCTTTCTGGCCTTTTTACTTATGCATTCACTTCTCACCCTTCTACTCCATGCTGTTCTATCGATCGATTTGTCTCTACTCTCCGAAATCGCCTTAACCCGATTCTATCATTGCGATACGTAGCCGCCGACAGCACTCTTCCATGCTATCGCCTTAAGCTCCGCCCGGAAAACCTTCGATGCCACCGGAGGTATTTTGTACGTTGTTCTCTTACGAAACCGATCTCACTGCATGAAAACTTTTGTTGTTTTCATGGCGTACATCAACATTGAACATTTCATCTGTAAGGTCAATGAATGCAAAGAGTTTCTCGGGTTCGAAGATTCTTAACTATGTGCATTGATTGGCGAGACCGATAATTTTAAGTAATCCAACCACAAATTCATTACAGTTTATACGAAGTTCCGACGAACAAAAGGCGTCATGACAATTTCCTCTGAGACTCAACCTCTGGATCATTCATGGTTCACGACGCCATTTATCACCCCATACTTACACGACGTGCCACTGAGTAGAGAAAAAAACAAGTAGTACACATGATAGGCTAAAGAGTGCTTACAGTTGATCAAGTCCGGCCGGGCAGCGTATTCCCCAGCGCTATTGAAAATCGAGGCTCTGAATAATGCCCAAAATATGGCTGCAATGCAGCATGCGCTCAACTCAATGTGTTGTCCTCGAGTAGGACCTGATGCTGAGCGCACCACATGTAATTGGCACCTTCACCCACGGCCCTCACTCCATTTCTTGCAGCATTCCTTGCCGAGCACATACCATCCTTGCAATGGCTGTTTCAACGACGTGTGTAATATAATGAGAGAAGGCGTCAATGCATGTATGCGGCGTTATAGCCCAACTTCAGCTGCTGTCACTCGTCTCCCCTTGCCTTCTGAGGCAATTGTTCCACTCTTTACACTTCTCTATCTGCCATTAAAGCTAGTGGGCACAATCAAAAGAGATCTACACCAGGGAAACACATCTCCAAAAATTAAACCTGAACTTTGATGCGCTTGCGAATTTCCCGCATTCTCTAGAGGGTTGACTTTTGGTGATACCATTATAACTATCTCTTAGATACAATTTTTCATGTGCATTTTGAGGGAGGCCGGAATGATGTAGTGAAGTGAGCGTCTCAACGGGCACGCGAGCGGTCCGGGGATCAAATCCTGGGTCGTGAGTCGCCCGGGCCAACCAAGCCTTCCATCCCTCCGGGGTCGGTTAATTGGTACCAGACTTGTCTGGGAGGATAAAAACACTGACTTGTACATCGGCTGGCCCCGCAAGTCATTGTATAGGCCACATCGCATTCAAACGCCACTACGAATGTACAAATGGAAGTAGAATGCGTGCCGCATCCCAAAAAGGGATTGATCAACGGCAAATGCTTTATCCTTTTTCCTTTATAACAATTCGTATAATGTATGCTATACGAAGTTATTACAGTGTCCAATGGTGAACCTGTCACTCCTTAAGATCTATTCACTTCAACACCTGAACGAACTGCATCTAATCATAAGCCTCAAACTCGTTTACAGTCAGCAGCGTTAGCAGCATCCAGCTTCTCGGGCTCTTGACGGTTTATTCTGATTTAAATTCGCTATTTTTTGATGGGTTGTAGGAGAGGCCAACCTGGGCGAAAATCGATCCAGTGAATTGTGAGGTAAAAGTGGCGATGAGGTGGCTCTATTCTCTGCACTTCTTATAGCCCCTTACGCAAGGGTTTACGATGCGTAATGGAGCATAAACTGTATAGGCGGCTGTGCGGGGCTTGTGGTTTATTCACATTCACAACGCCGCCCGAGAAACTTTACTACCCTTGTCGCCCTTGATACCATTCAGGTTCACTATTCCATAGTATTCGCTAGACTGCGTTTTCCGCTTTTGGGATTCGCCAGGAGATAGCCCAGGTAGCCCAGGCTCTCCATCTTACCAGATCCCCCACTCAGCGCTATACTTGTCCGTGAGGTAAAACTTCTTATTTGCTCAATTCCGTTTCCCTCCTGCTCCTCTTCTTCTTTTATGAGTCATCTGTGTAATGACAGTAGGCATTCAAGAGCCTTCTAGTTGTCTGAATGATAGCTGGACGCATGGCGCATCCCGTGATTCATGCAGATTCCGCTATCGTTTTGAATCAAGGTCATTCTTTGGTTGTTTTCGATAGCTCCTTTCCCTACCAATTAACCCACCTCGAAGGAATAGAAGGCTTGGTTGGCCCGGACGACACCAACCACCACTGCCCACCACTTCCTCTATAGGAAGTCAAACAGGTATACGTTTTCCAAAAAACCCCATAGATGGGTTTGATGCAGGGTCATCCGTCAGGGTGTGCCAATTTTTCAAAATTTCAATCTGCGGGGCTACCCCAAAAGACCTTTCCAATGGTCCATTGAACTACCACCACTTGACCTGCTTCTATTCCGCCTTCCCCCCCCCTCCCCTCCATATTAGCATTTTGGAGGTATCGCTCCCAAAATTATAATTTCACAAATTTCTGTCCATTCAATTTTTCCCAGTGCCCCCACCTCGAAGCCCCGAATGCGGTCTCGCCTCTGACCCTTGATACGACCTCCATCCAAAAATACAGTAACGACCTCCTCGTTGGGAGGATATGTCCGGATGGTTGACCCTGCTTGGATGCCATGATTCAAGCAGCTATGGCTTGGTTACGTAATTATTAAGGTTGAAAGGCTGTACACAAGATCCAATGTAACAAGAGTCGGCGCTATCGCAAGATAGGGGGCATGCTCTGGGGCCAAACCTAGGAGGGGGCAGGAACCTTGGGAAAAATGAACACTGCTAACACACGCTGGAGTCTCTCTTCCCGTCTGAGGCTTGATCCCGTTTTTCATAGAAAGGAGTCGTTTTGCGCGATTTCGAATGCATTACCACCACAATGTCCCCGTATCTTGCGATAGCGTCCAAGATTCATCATCAAACTTTTATCGCCTTTTATGGAATCCATACCCAGGCGTTCTTATGGGCAATTTGGCTAATGCCCAGGTTATATAATAGTTATATGCCACGATACATTCCTGACCACACAAGATGCTAAACGGCGTTCAGAAAAAGCTTAATCGATCGTTTTGACACCTTCGTAGTGGCCCCGCCCTACTACTCGTCCACAGCTTAGCTGAAGCCTCCCCCATTCATCTAGCAATTTGCTCGAGGATGCTTTGGCAGAAATTCTCTAGTCTTCGACGTTTATTCCAACGTCAAACGAAGGTCAGTAGGTAAAGCGCGAGTTCCAGTCCATACTTTGTCCACTCTTTTTCACACTTGTTATTTTGGCCTAAAAATTCATTTTAAGGATTACGATGGCACGCACTTCCACGACGAAGTCGACGTCGGCTGTACACTTCGGCTAGTGGACAAAGCCGCGATGCGCGGTGACAGCGAAGAAGACGACTCTGACTATTACGAGGATGAAGAGGTCCTGCCACGAATAGTTAATGGTCACCGTCAGATTATCTAATAACCGAACTTATTTCAGTACACTGACGAGGAATACTGGGACGAAGAGGAGGGATATGATGAAGACGAAGAGGAATACGAAGAGGAAGTTGAGGAAGAAGGCGAGGAAGAATTCGATGAAGAGGAGGAAGAGGAAGAGGTCGAAGCAGAGGAGGAAGAGGAGAGTTGCGAGAGCGAGGCTGAAATGCACAGCTTTGCGGAGAGTGCCGAAGAAGAAAGTGTACGGGTACGTTCATAAAATCACTACAACGCAGCTAAAATTTTATGTGCAATTGCGGGCGTGCGGTCGGATTACTGTATCGGGGAAAATGTGGTTTTTCTATTGGAAATGAAAGAGTGGTGGCACTTTGAGGGACAGGATGTCCTACGCTTCACTCTGGGTTATACTTAGCTCGTTATCTAGGTAACACCACTGCTATCTCTCAAACCAACAGAAAAGCCGGCACTAGTCGGAGTATAGTCCACGATCGACCTTCTTTCAATCTTGGCATTGAAGATTCAGTTCTATACTTTATTAGAGCCTCTCCAAGGTTGTAGCTTTTACCAAGGCTGACGTTTTGGCTTTCCTCGCCTTTTTCAGAGCGTAAAAAGCCGAAAACTTTGAGATCGACCCCTCAAACTTTCTGACAATTCCAAAGACAACTCCAGTAGAGTAGAAAACCCTCAGTCGGTATCGATCAATGCGAAGAGTGTTACTAACTTATCTTGATGTCTGTCGCCAGAAGTGAAAGAGACTACCCATAGAACTTGAATTTGAGCACAGTGAGCATAACTACCTCCACCTCTACGACCTCATAAAACTGAATCTTCAATAGAACAGCAACTGCAGCAAACGCATCAAGCAGCGGTCAGAAGTTTTCACTGGAAAGCGTTTGGTGCATTAATTTTTTGTTGTGAAACAGGTTTTGTTTGAAATTATGCCTGGGAAATCTCATCGTTAAGATCATGTTGAGAGTGTTCTGCCAGTAAGGCGGGAGTGAGAGAGAGTTTATGCGACAGCTTGCCATGTGTAGTAATTTCCTTTTTTGCAGAGGTGTAAAATTCCCAGGGTGCACCAGTTCGCTTTAGCTTTCGAGCCCATCTCGGAGCTTCCTCTCCTTCAAAAAATGGGAATCGCTAAGGCGACTGCGACCAGGGTCGGTCCTACCGTTGCTACTTTTCAAAAAGTTTTTACGACCTCCCTCCCTCATGAAATGTTTCATACGAACCCCTCTTTCAAAACAAAACAATTTTTACCCCAAAAAATTACCGTCGAGCGGGGGGGGGGGGTATACGCGCGCTGAAACAGCAAATTTTCTCCCGCGCCGCTCCCCACTCATCACATGCCACTTCTTACAACCGAAGCAAGTACGACCCCCCTCTACAAACTCACCAAAATACGACCCCCCCGTTGCTACTTGTAGCAACATAGGGTTGACCCTGCTCCTAACCCACTACGTTCCTCACACACAAGTCGCCTCCCCTCTACTGAAGGTGGCCCTGCAAAGATACGAAGTTATTACGAAAACAATTAGAAAGCATAACATCAAAAGTGTTGTGTCCATTAAAGGCATGCCCCAGGATCACATTGGTGTGGCTCTTGTACACGAATGCGAATGTATTGGTGGGAAGTGGGCCGGCAGTAAAGAAAAAAGGAAAAGAATCCGTCAAAAACGCTTAGGTTAAGGGCTCACTCACCTTCCTAATCGGCTGTGCTAAGGGAATGAGAGACTAAGCGCGGAGAGGAGAGTATGGGCGAGAGAGCGCTACAGATGAGAGAGTGCCAGACAACCACGTTGATGAGCTAAAAAAATTTGCAGGCTTGACAAGACTTGATTTGCCAAGGCCCAAGCGCTCTTGTCGTTGATTTCGCACGGGACGGACGCCACATTTGTGATTGTCCTCTAGGGCTCTATGCTACAGACCGAAGAGAAGCGTTTGCACGACCTCCGCCTGGGTTGTGCCTTCCAAGGTGATACGGTAAAAACCA